TACAAAAAAATGCAAAAATGAGCGGGACATGGTGGCACACACCTGTGGTCCCAGCTGCTTGGGAGGCTGAAGCATCAGAATCGCTTGAACCCAGGAGGTAGATGTTGCAGTGAGCCAAGATTGTGCCATTGCACTTCAGCCTGGGCAACAGAGCAAGACCCTGTCTCAAAAATATCTATCTAAAATTAAAATAAGTAAAAGATAAAGAGAGAGTGAGCCAGATGATATTGGGGAAAGAGCATTTGTCGCAGAGGGAGTAGCATGTGCAGCAGGGTGTGATCACATGAGACAATGGGCAGGACAGCCCTAGCCTGTCATGTAAACACAAGGACCCTCCAAGCTGGCCACTCCTCACTGGCCACCTGAGTCTCTGACAGCTGGCGAAGAAGTCACCAATCACAGAAACCTAAGTATTACATGTTACATTTCCAAAGGTCCTGGGTTCCCTCCCACGAGCACTGCTCCAGAAACAGGCAGAAAGAGAATGGAAACAACTTTCCTCATGCCTCTATTAGAGCATTTACATCTCATGATCCCTTTACAAGTCAGTCTCACCCCTGGGATGCGGGCTCCTGCAGGCAGGACTGCTTCTCACTTCTCAGGGACCCTGTGGGGCACTGGCAAGCCACACTGCCTTTGGAATTCTGGTTTGGAATGCTGGTTCTGTCATGTTCTTTCCTGAGTTCAGGCATGTTTTTTGCCTTTCTGAGCCTCGGCTTCCTCATCTGAAAGATAAGGGCACTTTTTTTTTTTTTTTTTTTTGAGATGGAGTCTTGCTCTGTCACTCAGGCTGGAGTTCCGTGGCACGATCTCAGCTCACAGCAACTTCTGCCTCCCGGGTTCAAGCGATTCTCCTGCCTCAGCCTCCCAAGTAGCTGGGACTATGGGTGTGTGCCACCACGATCAGCTAATTTTTGTATTTTTAGTTAAAGACAACATTTCGCCATGTTGGCCAGGATGGTCTCCATCTCTTGACCTCATGATCTATCTGCCTCGGCCTCCCAAAGTGCTCAGATTACAGGCATGAGCCACTACACCCGGCCAGATGGGGGCATTTTTATAGCTAACTCCCAGGGCTGGTTTGAGAATCAGCTGGGTCCAGCATATCATAAGTGCAAAAGTGTAGGTTACTTGTTGTCATTGCTCACATTCTGAATGCCTGTCAGTAAGTGCTCAAAAAATTTGGTAGGACAGAACTCTAGAGTAATAAAATCCTCCAGGAAGAACTTCATGTTTAGAGCTGCTGCTATTTTGAGGGAAGCGCTTACCCTGCATGCGCTCAGGGAAGGGTATAGCCATCTGTCTGATAACACCTGTGAGACATGACATTGACCTAAGTCCCTAATCTGACCCCTTGCTCCAGAGCCTGTTCTGATGTCCTGTTCTTAGATAGAAACCTTGTCAAGCCATTAATGTGATATGAACAGATACAGTGTCTGATCTTCGCTAAAAGCTAAGAAACAGCCTTCACTCCCCACATATCCTTGGCTGCCTTCTGGCTCCCACTAGCCTCCTCTGGAGCTCTGTATGGGCTTTGCACTCACCCTATCCATCCCTGGCACTGTGTTGTAGCCACTGCTGAGATTTGTGGGAAGAAGTCTTAGAATAAGGTGAGCCAAGCAGAAGATAAAGCAGGAATCCCAGGATTTAGCCTTAAGTTCTCATGTTCTGTGGGTGAGACCTGCAAAAACCATCTTGGCCATGTAATTGTGTGGGTAGGAAAAATGGAAAGCAGCTCATCATCCTGGATAAGGGAGGGTTTGAGGAAAAGGGAAAGAAGCCGTTGGTGCTTAGATTCTGACAGTAGGCTGATGGGTGGAAGTGGCTGGGCAGTGGAAGTGGATTCCCAGCGGCTGGCGGGAGTATGTGGCAGATGACGCCAAGGAAGGTGTCTCCCCAGGGATCACCTCCTTGTTTGCTCAGATTCCAAGTGACTGTTAGCATTTTGTGTGCTTTCCTGAGACCCAGCCCTGGCATAAAGAAATAATGGTGACCTTGGGACCCTCAACAAGCTGAATTACTAACCTTTGGTAAATCAGTGCCAGGAATTGACAGTGTTTGGCTCAAGTGGGCAGCAGCCCTAGGCCAGAATGGTGTTACAAAAACACGAGGTCTCTGTTAACACTGTGCCTATAAAGTCAAAGTGGAAGTAAGCTATTCAGATCCTAGCAAGAGTCAAAAAGGGTGGGCTGACAGTCTTTGCCTGTATGACTGTGAGCAAGTGCCTTCACCTTTCTCAGCATCACTTTTCTCATCTACAAAACATGAATAATAATTCCTGCCACATTGGACTCACAGGGTTCTCATGAGACTCACATTTGAGCAAATTGAGAGCACATGATATCATGGGATAGTATATGGCTTTCTTTACATTTCCCGCAGAGAGTGGTTGTGAGGCTCACCCGAGCAACTGCCCACAATGATGAGAACATAATAGATGTGTGAGAATTATAATTCAGTTGTTGCTTGTAAAAATGCTACATCTGAAAATGCAATTATAAGTACACCGAGTATTATAAAGTGTAAATTCTTCTTTTCTTTTCTTTTTTTTTTTTTTTTTTTTTTTTTTTGAGACGGAGTTTCGCTCTTGTTACCCAGGCTGGAGTGCAATGGCGCGATCTCGGCTCACCGCAACCTCCGCCTCCCGGTTTCAGGCAATTCTCCTGCCTCAGCCTCCTGAGTAGCTGGGACTACAGGCACGCGCCACCATGCCCAGCTAATTTTTTTTGTATTTTTAGTAGAGACGGGGTTTCACCATGTTGACCAGGATGGTCTCGATCTTTTGACCTCGTGATCCACCCGCCTCAGCCTCCCAAAGTACTGGGATTACAGGCTTGAGCCACCGCGCCCGGCTAAATTCTTATTTTCATCTTTTATTCATCTGCTAGCCGATAGGCTTAATACACGGTCCCCACAGTCACCTGTCTAGCCTGGTAAATTTTTCCATTCCCGGTCCCAGGGAACCTTAGTAATTCCTTGCCATCCTCCTTACTCCTCAAGTCAGCCGCACACATGGCCTCTTTTTCTTTCTTTCTTTCTTTTTTGAGTTGGAGTCTCACTCTGTCATCCAGGCTGGAGGGAAGTGGTGTGATCTTGGCTCGCTGCAACACTGTCTCCCAGGTTCAAACAGTTCTTCTGCCTCAGCCTCCTGAGTCTCTGGAACTAGAGGCATGCACCACCACGCCTGGCTAATTTTTGTATTTTTAATAGAGACGAGGTTTCACCATATTGACCAGACTGATCTCGAACTCCTGACCTCATGATCCGCCCACTTCAGCCTCCCAAAGTGCTGGGATGACAGGCGTGAGCCACCATGCCCGGCCACAGTCTCTTTTTCAAATGCCATTTTACCACATTGTTCCTCCTGAAGAACAACACCTCTTACAGGCATAGGACTCCAGCCCCCTCCAATTTGGTCTCTGAAGCAACCTCTCTTTTCTGCTCTCAGGGTCAAGCCGCCTCCCCTCCATCCCTCTGCTTCTTCCTTGAGCCATCGCTGCCAGATGGAATGCCCCTGTCTCACTTCTCTTTTTTTTTTCAGGCTCAACCCTTCGAAATGCATACTGTTCCTTGCTCTGGGAGCTTCCTCTGATTTATCCCACCCTACAGATCACTCAGCTCTTGTGAGCTCATTTTGTGTCATATGATTTGACTTTTGCTCACACGTGATTTTCTAAACATTCTTTCAGCCCTGTGGCAGGGACTGGATCTTCTGTCTTGGCCTGCGCTTAGTGGAACATGTAGTTTAAAGGAGGCAATCTGGGAAGACTATCCCTTGACCAAGAGTCCCTCACCTTATTGTTTGCCTCCCTAGGCCCTTGTCTAGCAGCAGAAGCTCCCCAAGGAGCAGTGCGCCCTTCAATGAAACATCTTATTTTAGATGTAGCGGGGGTCCCTACCTTCTACCATACCCAGGGAAAGCTTTCAGCTAGTGCCTGCAGGAGACTAATTCTTCAGGACGCTTGGCTTTTCTGTTCAGGTATAGTGCCCTTGTTCTTGAATTTGGCAGGGGCCTCACAGCGAAAAGAAATGTGCAGGGAGTAAGTCAGACCATTGGGTCAGTATCTCTGCAGTGAACTGGGGTTTTTCTTCTAGTTTATTTTTCTGTGCACACCTATAGACAGATGCCCAGGCTGTGTCCCCACCCTCATGCTGGTGTGGTTCTAGATATGTCCTGGGAGGCCTAGAATCTAAGATGTCTGAGCTGATGTCACTGGTGGAGAAATGCTTAGAAAGAAAGGGCAATCCTGAATTTGCTTCAAGGTACAGATTTGCTCCCTGTTTCTCTTTTATTTTCCTTTGGTTTCTGTTCCTTCTGCATTTATGTGTGCTCAGCAGTGGAGATATAAGATAAAGAAGGAAGATCCTGTCTGTTCTGAGAGTCTCACAGTCTGGTGAAACTTCCTACCCCACTAGTGGGAAGCCTCTTAGAGGGTCCCTGGACTCCTGCTCTTCTCTCTTGCTCTCCAAATTTTGAGGTTAAAGACCACTTTAAGAATCTTATGAAAGTTATGGATTCTCTCTCCTTGTCCCAAATGCAGACATATTCAATACTTTGCATAAAACTCCAGGGGGTTTATAGACCCGATGAAGCCCATCCATGAAACCCACAAGCTCCATTAAAAAAGAAAGTCAGGCCAGGCGCGATGGCTCAAGCCTGTAATCCCAGCACTTTGGGAGGCCGAGGCGGGTGGATCACAAGGTCAAGAGATCGAGAACATCCTGGTCAACATGGTGAAACCCCGTCTCTACTAAAAATACAAAAAATTAGCTGGGCATGGTGGCACGTGCCTGTAATCCTGGCTACTCAGGACGCTGAGGCAGGAGAATTGCCTGAACCCAGGAAGCAGAGGTTGCGGTGAGCGGAGATCGTGCCTTTGCACTCCAGCCTGGGTAACAAGAGCGAAACTCCGTCTCAAAAAAAAAAAAAAAAGAAAGAAAGTCAGTAAGGATGAGAAGGGGGAAGAAACTTAAAATGAAATACAAATAGAAACAAATGCATCCTTTTATGGCTCATAAACGTGATGACTGGGTTTTCACACACATGTGAGATGTGCCTCCCGTAAACCTTAAGACATCAGCACGTTATCTATCTAACATAAAAAAAGAAAGAAAGAAACAACTGAACCTAACTCTATTTAAAATAAATAATACTAGGTCCGGGAACGGTGGCTCAGCCTGTAATCCCAGCACTTTGGGAGGCCGAGGCGGGTGGATCACAAGGTCAAGAGATCGAGACCATCCTGGTCAACACGGTGTGAAACCCCGTCTCTACTAAAAATGCAAAAAATTAGCTGGGCATGGTGGCGCATGCCTGTAGTCCCAGCTACTCAGGAGGCTGAGGCAGGAGAATTGCCTGAACCCAGGAGGTGGAGGTTGCGGTGAGCCGAGATCACGCCATTGCACTCCAGCTTGGGTAACAAGAGCAAAACTCCGTCTCAAAAAATAAATAAATAAATACATACATAAAATAAAATAAATAATATTACCACACCAAAGGGAGGATAAAACCAAACAGACAAGTTCAACAAATATTTAATTCTAGTTAGAAGGAGTTTTTTCTATAGTGTTATGGGTTAGCAATTCCTTTTTTTTTTTTTTGAGATGGAGTTTCGCTCTTGTTACCCAGGCTGGAGTGCAATGGTGTAATCTCGACTCACCACAACCTCCGCCTCCTGGGTTCAGGCAATTCTCCTGCCTCAGCCTCTGGAGTAGCTGAGATTACAGGCACCAGCTACCACACCCAGCTAATTTTTTGTATTTTTAGTAGAGACGGGGTTTCACCATGTTAACCAGGATGGTCTCGATCTCTTGACCTCGTGATCCACCCGCCTCAGCCTCCCAAAGTGCTGGGATTACAGGCGTGAGCCATGGGTAAGCAATTCTGAAATACCTTTTGTGTGCTGTAGAGTTGAGCAAATGAGTATATGTATATGTACTGAGCATATTGGAACTCAGTATATGTACTGAGCATATTGGAAGCTAGTTCTTGCTGTTGGAGAGGAGAGTTATAAATATAGAGAAAGAGAGGACTAAAATGAATTTTGTGGTGTCGAGTTGGAACCGGAGGTATCTATATGAATTCATGAATTTATGTGTGTGTGTTTGCATGTGTACAGATGTAGAAATAAATTAAAATGTCTATATTTCTTAACTCTGTCTGCTAAAGGGCTTAGGAAGTAGACACTACAGTAGCATTGAGCACACCTGGCACTCAGATCTTGGTTTCTAAATATCATTTTGTACTGAAAAATAAACTAGGGCTCCTTGAAGAAATGGCTAATTCTCAGGCTGAGAGAGGGAAAGTACAAGATAAGCTTAGAATATCATGTTGTGCCAGAGAGCAAGGAAGTGCCTTTTAAAAAATGGAGATATGAGAAAAGAACACAGGAATCAGAAGGGGCCCCCACTGGCCAAATCTGGGACTATATGAAAATCAGAATAAATAATGGCCATTACAGTGGTATTATACCACAATATTACAATTGTAATATCACTACAAAATAGTCATAGAATAAAATAATCTATGAGTTCATACTAATATAAATAAATAAGGGAGAAGGGATAGTTGTGTCTTATAGTAGAATATCAACTAATAAATATAGAAGAAATGATGGAATATCATCATTGTACAACCATTATCTAGACAAGAATTATCAATGGATGCTAAAACTAGTGGTAGAAGTTTGATAAAGAAGAGGATATGTCTGGCAGAAGACTTTTCTATACAGTGAAAAAAGAGAAAAAGAAAAAAGAAGAGGATATGTACATCGATTCAGAGCACCTCCAAGCAAATAACTTATTGATCACAAAGGGAAAATTAGTAACTCCATGGCGAGTTAATCTGGTGAACACAACCATAGCCATTTAATCACAGTTAACAATACCAGTAAAGAGATGCACTGATCTCACATGCCTTGAAAAGGACTCCATAGCATTTCTATGGTACACCTGCCAAAACTATATAACCTGAATCTAATTATGAGGCAGCATAAAACAAACCAAACTGAAGGGCATTCTACATAACAACTGGCCTGTAATCTCAAAAAAAAAAAAAAAAAAAAAAAGTCGACTTCATGAAAGATAAGGGAAGGCTGAGAACCTGATCTAGATGAAAGAAGATTAAAGATATCTGAACAGTAAATGCAATGTATGATCTTGAATTGGATGCTGGATCAGAAAAAAACAGCTCCGATGAAGGACATTATTGGAGCAAATGGTGAAATTTAAATATAAACTATAGATCAGATAAGAATTTTGTATCAGTGTTACAAATTCCCTGATTTCGATAAATGTACTGGGATCATGTAAGAGAAAATTCTTAGGGAATACACACTGACATATTTATGGACAAAGGGGCATAAATAGTTCAAGAAAAAACATGTGTATGCATATCTATATGGATAGGTAGAAAAACGATAGATCAGCTGGGCACGGTGGCTTATACCTGTATTCCCAGCACTTTGGGAGGCTGAGGTGGGCACATCATGAGGTCAGGAGTTCCAGACCAGCCTGGTCAACATAGTGAAACCCTGCGTCTACTAAAAATACAAAAAAATTAGCTGGGCATGATAGCAAGTGCCTGTTATCCCAGCTACCTGGGAAGCTGAGGCAGGAGAATTGCTTAAACCCAGGAGACAGAGGTGCACTGAGCTGAGATGGTGCCACTGCACTCCAGCCCCAGTGACAGTGCAAGCCTCTATCTCAAAAAAACAAAAATCAGAACAATAAATCAAATGGGGCAAAATGTTAGCAATTAGTGAATCTGGGTAAAGAATATACTGTTTTTGCAACTTTTCTTTAAAAGCGTAAAATTATATAAAATTTTAAAAGTTTACAAAAAGAGCCAGGCGTGGTGGCTCACATCTGTAATCCAAGCACTTTGGAGGCCAAGGTGGGTGGATCACCTGAAGTCAGGAGTTCAAGACCAGCCTCACCAACATGGCGAAACCCTGTCTTAAAAAAAAAAAAAAAAAAAAAAAATTTACAAAAAGAATATTTATTTGCTCTAAGCTGGGAATTTTTTTTTTTTTTTTTTTGAAACAGAGTCTCACTCTGTCATGCACGCTGGAGTGCAGTGGTGCGACCTTGGCTCACTACAACCTCTGCCTACCAGATTCAAGTGATTCTTATGCCTCAGCCTCCTAAGTAGTTGGGACTATAGGTATGTGCCACTGAGCCTGGCTAATTTTTGTATTTTAGTGGAGATGAGGTTTCACTATGTTGGCCAGGCTGGTCTCAAACTCCTGACTTCAGGTCATCCGCCTACCTCAGCCTTACAAAGTGCCGGGATTACAGGCATAATCCTACTGAGCCCAGCAAAACTGGAACTTTTATACATTGCTGGAGGGAATACACATTGATATGACCTCTTTGGAACTTTGGTAGTGTCTTCTAAGGCTATACACATATATCCCTATCCCCCAGCAAGTTTGCTTTCATATTTAACCAATAAAAAACAGTGCTTCTTTTCACTAAAGGACAGGTACAAGAATGTTTATAGTAGTAAAAACTGGAAATAGTGAAACACTGGAAGCAACCTGTGATGGTTAATTTTATGTTGACTTGGCTAGGCAATGGTGCCTAGTTGTTTGGTCAAATATTAGTCAGGATGTTGTTGTGAAATATTTTGTAGATGTGATCAACATTTACAATCAACTAACTTTAGTTAAAGAGAATTATCCATAACGTAGGCGGGCCTCATCCAATCTGTTGAAGGCCTTAAAAGCAAAAACTGAGGTTTCCCAGAGAAGAAGGAATTCTGCCTTAAGACTGTAACATAGAAACCTTGCCTGAGTTTCCAGCCTGCTGCTCCACAGAGGAGAAAAACTTTTGGACTTGCCAGCCCCCACAACCATGTGAGTCAATTTCTTTAAAAAAAAAAAAAAAAAAAAAAAATCCCTCCTCTGTCTCATACATATATAATTGGTTATATACAATTATATATATATAACATATAATTGGTTCTATTTCTCTGGAGAACTGTGACTAATATACAACCCAAAATGTTTGGTTTGTGTGTTAGTCAGTGAGAGAATTGATACATAAAATGCATAAATATTCAAACTACACAGCAATGGAAAAGAACAAATGGCTATATGCACAAACAGAGATGAATCTTGCAGAGATAATGTTGAGTCAGACACAACATTATGTCTGACTCATAAAACAAAAGAATATATACTGTATGAATTAATTTTTACAAAGTTCAGGAATAAGCAAGACTAATCTATTATGACAGAAATCAGAATATTGGTTACCTTTGAGGGATGATATTAACTATGAGGGGACACAAAGGAGTCTTCTGGGGTTTTGGAAGTGTGTGTCAGCATGGTAGTTACGCAGGAGCAAATATATGTCAAATATCATCCAGTTGTGCATTTTATGGATTTTTTTTTAAAGAGGTTAAAAAAAGAGTTCTTATTCTAAACACTCACCTTCTCCATCCCCTCTATGGCTAAGCTGTAACCTCTGTACAGTAGATTTCTACATCCATATTACAGATCCGGAAACTCTGCTCAGGCCTCAAATACATGTTCACAACTATATTTCTTATTCCTATCCAAAAAACTTGTTTTCTTAGATGTTGCAAGCCACCCAACAGTCCTCCTTCTCTGTAACCCCAAGTACAATCTGATGGCCAGGTGCAGTTGATAACTTCCTAAATATCCCTCCACTTTGTCTCTTCCTCTCCTTACCGTCACAGCCTTTGTTTAGGCACTGTCATTTCTGCTTGAGTTGCATCATCACCTGGGTGACAGCAACACCTAAATTAGTGTTTGAATAACTGAGGACTGCAGCTTTGCCATGCTGAGACATAAAACGGACCATCACATAGGTCTAGCATCTACTCCAGTGCCCCCATCTGCTCAGTCTATGCCTGTGAAATGAAGTAGCTCATTTCTAACCCCGGTACCATCATGTTCCAGACAAGTCTTGGTGTCTGACCATGGGACAGAAGTAGTTATCATGCATCCATTATCAGTACTGCAGAGCAGACAGAGGGTGACTCCTGAAAGACATGATTTTGGGTTCTAATCTAACTAGGGAGAGAAAACACAATCAGATGAGTGCAAGACAACCTACAGGTTAAGTTCCC